CCCCCCCCCCCCCCCATATTTTTTTTTTAATTTAACGAATATAACCATAGAACAAAATAATGATGTATTTTATAATTCTATCCTAAGTTTGAGTGATAATAATTGAGTTAATTTTGGTTAAATTAATTATAAGGAAATTTAAAACATATGAATAATACCAAAAATAAATAAAAGAGAGATATAAAATTAAAAACATGCCACTACCATCACTGACTAGATGACTCAGTTCCGGTCTCTCACTAAGTCCCTTTCAGTTTTTTTTGTTTTTTTTTTGTTTTTGTTTTCTTCAATTTCTCTCTCTAGAACATGCAAAATGGGCCCCATCCCTTTCTCTCTCCTCTTTCCCTCTATATCTATCTCCCTTTTCTATTTTATTTATTTCCCAATTCATTCTCTTTTCCTCTCCACCTCCTTCCTCTCTTCCATTTCATTGACCAACAAATATGATGCACCACTGCGGCGGCGGCGCCGGCGGAGCTGCCTCTTCATTTTCCGTCTTTTTGTCGGTGCCCAACCACGGTGGCGCTGCCCATGACATGATGGACATCTACTCTAATAATTATGCCTCCTCCTCCTCCTCCTCTTCTTCTTCTCCTTCATCCGTTGATTGTACTCTCTCTCTTGGTACTCCCTCTACGCGATCGTCGGAGTTCGATTCCGACAAACGCGCCGCCCCCCGCCATCACCGCCGCTCCGCTGGTTCTTATGTCTCTAACTTCTGTTGGGACTTGTTGCATCCTAAACACAAGAGTGCTGGCCGTTCCACGGCGAGTAATGCCGCCGCTGTCCCTTCCGGTGGCGATCCGCTCCTCGCTCGGCGGTGCGCTAACTGCGATACCACTTCTACTCCGCTTTGGAGAAATGGGCCGAGAGGGCCTAAGGTAAATCACGTGATTTCAAATTATGGAAATTATTTTAATTTTCTTTTTTGTTTTTTAAATGTAAATTATTTTTTAAAGTTCTAACAATTGTTTATAATAGAGATTCTATTCTGATTTTAGTAATTTGTTGGAGTTCTGGTTAAGTTACCGATGCTTATGTTATTTAGAATAATTTTATTGGTTAAAACGTTATAATTTTAATTAAAAATTACTATAAATTTGAATTAAAGAAGAATATAGATAGACTAAATTCAATGTAATTACTTTTTTATTGTAACAATAAAATTTGAATTTATTTATTTAATTGAAATGCAGTCCCTATGCAATGCGTGTGGGATTCGTTTCAAGAAGGAAGAGCGGAGGGCGGCGGCGACGGTGAACTGCACGGCTACCGCAATGGCGGCGGAATCTAACAACCACCATCACCTCCACCAACACCACCAGATGTTCAACGGAAACTACACGAATTCAACCGCTGCGTGGGTTCCACACCACTCGCCAGTGGCAACCCAGAAACTCCCGTGCCTGTCGGCGGCGGCTATTAACAACGAATCAATGTTTATAGGAAACGACGACGTTCGAAGAACCGAACAAGAAAATGGCATCTCGTATCTCTCTTGGCGCCTCAACGTTACCGATCACCGGCCCAGCCTCGTCCATGACTTCACAAGATGATCCCCCCCAGACCCAGATCAATGGAGAAGCCCTTTTTTTTTTTTTTTTTTTTTTTT